GATGTACAATCAATGATTATTACTTTATGATACATTATTTACGTGTAATTCTATGATCAAATAAAATCGCATGTTTACAAAAAAAAAATTAAATGCGCATAATACACCAATGCATACATATTGTGGAAAAATACAATTGCTGTCTTCACCACAAGAGAGGAAAGATTCCAACGAGGCCGATCGAATTAATTTTTGCAAATTAAACAGACGAAAATCTTATTGATGACCATCCCGGGGTCATGAAAATATCATCTCTTGCTATGTAAGAAATTCTAATGCTGAATTATATTTGTCTTTTTATCTCACCACAGACGGTGGCCCCAAATCCTTTTAGTTTCATGTGAACTTGGAATGCGCCCGTGTTCGTGTTAAAAACCATATAACCTGTTTATCTGTATTTAACAGGGCCCGGATTATCACATTATGAGCTCTGTTCTGGATTGAACGAATTGGCACAGCGTGCATGTTACTTACTTCAAAGGTGACATTAAGTCCCCAACTAGGAACATAATAAAACTGATTAAATTACAATGCTATGATGAACGATATACGAATATGATGACACGGCCTAGTTTAAAGTCATTGAAGGCTTGTTGATAAGAAGTGAGTAAAGGTTGTTTATATCCCGATTTATTTCGAATTAACTTTAATCAACGAACAAATTTATTTTAGCAACAAATCAGTTGTACAATAGTTTCCGTGCTGCAGTGTTCTGATAGTTTTCAATAATTTTCTGTTAGGCAATTAGTTTGCAAATTAAATAGCAGATCACGATTCAATAATTGTTGTCTCCGCTTGATTCCCGAAGGCTCTCTCTTCATTCCTTGATTTTTAGCAGCGAATGAAATGATCGAAATAAATTACTGTTAATTGTTAAAGAATAATTCAGGACTTCGTAAAATTGTAAGAGGACAAGGGAAGATTTTTACTTAAATCCTAACATCCGAATCTCGAATCGGGAAGAAAAAACACAATTTGTAGAGGAGAAAAAAAAATGTATTTTTAACGTAAGTAGACTCTAAAATCACTTAAATAAGCCATTGAAACCTCTAAGCTGCCACAGTTTCAGGGGCTTAGTCCCCTGGACCACTTCAGAAAGATTACGCCCAACCACGCCCACTTACACTCCCGTCGGGGGATATCCCCCACCGGTTGGGGACATCAGACCCCCAATTCGGACAAATCCTGGTGCCACCCCTGCTACTCCATCGTTCATAAGGCAAATAATTTCGAATATTGAAAGTTCATTTTCTCGCGTGTTGGTTCGTATAGAACGTGCAGAGAAATCACGTGACTATCGTCCTGCCGGTCTGGAGTTCATATTAGTACAGGAATCATTATCTTTCCCAATGGTTAGTGATCCAACTGCTAATGTGCATAGTCTATATTTTAAATTATTATATTCTAGACTCTTAACTTCACGGGTTTTTATGTCGAATACAAACGCATACTGATATCCGTCGGTGTATGATTGCGACACCATACTTTGATTTCGCAGAAAAGTAACTTTAAAAAAATTGCCTATCAACCAAATTTGTTTATAAGAAAGATAGTTCATTTACCTTACTGACCCAACAGTACCTCCATCTCTTGCGTATCCAGTCCATGCAAGGAACAAGCCTCATCATAGACGGTTGCCTTCTCTTTTGTATCAAGTTAGAAGTGGGTGTGTTTAGAAGTTCATTATTCTGAAAATATATATTCAGTGTTGTTAAATTTTTTAGAAGTGCAATATATAAAACATTTTAGTGGTGCTGCAGTTTTGTTGAGAAAACGTTATTTATTGCATAAAAGTATATACATATTTATAACGTAATTTCCCACTAAGTAAGGTGACGCGTTGTTAAAATAAATGAATGAATGAATGAATGAATGAATGAAAAACGTTGTGTTGACGTTAATTTCTGACATGACCTAACCACAGAGTTCCCAAAGTGTGTAAATGTTACAAAACCATTCGAACAGGTAAATCACATTCTTAAATTTCTATTTTATTACTCGATGGTTCAATACAAGTTTTATAATTCAAAAAAATTAATGTTGGTTTCCGCAAACACTGTTTATTATATGCGCCTTAATCTTGGGACTAAAATTATATTTTCATGTAATAGGCCTGGTACACTTAATTTTAATATAGACACCTATCCTCAAGAACAATAATTATGATTTGTCGTCAAATTAGGATTAAATTCATTAACCACGTGTTCGTGGGCATCCTTTAAACTAACAACTGATTAGCCTAGTATTCGATGGATTACAATGGTATTCAGAATTTGCATTAGAAATATTAAATTTTTGCTTGCCGAATTCGGAAAAAAAATATTCAGCCAAATTGTCTGTTTCTTTATTACTAGAAATCAGGTTGGTGTCGTGTAAGAATAACCACCCTGTGAACGAGATAGACAATGGAGGGTTCCTAAAAAGTAAACAAGTGTTTAGTTTTTATTCCACGTTATGATGAATATAAAACTTAACGAATGAATAAATTATTAATCGGTTACTAACTTTTGTTAGGTCAACATCTACAACGGGTGCTCCATCGAGCTTCAGCGTCGACGACCTGTGGTCTGCAAGTACTGCGCTCACTATTACCATAAAGACGAGGAAGGTTAACACTAACTTGTTCATATTTGCATCTACGGAAACATAAAAAAATACTCTAAAAATAAATCGGTCACATTATGTATA